GGCCGCGATAAGACTCTGATTGGGACGCCAGCGTGGGCGGCGCCCGAGATCTTGCGTGGTGAGCCCAACTACTCGGAAAAGGTGGACGTCTACAGCTTTGCTATGCGTACGTTCCTTGATCAACGACGACGTTCATGACTCATGATGCTCTTCAATTAGTCATGGTGGAGACGATGAACCGCGTCGCGCCGTACGCGGAGCAAGCACACAAGCCGCCGAAAGAGCTCCTAAACGAAATCGCGACGCGCAGCTACCGGCCCCGTATTCTGGACCGCAAACCGTGGCCGCGGACTGTATTGCACCTTCTTGAAGAGTGTTCGTTCAACGACGCGAGTGCCCGCCCAGCATTTTCTGCGATTGTACCCCGCTTGGAAGCGATCGTGGCCGCTTTAGCGCAGACACCCAAGTGACAACACAAGCCCTTTGCACACGGCCATTTCAGCGAGCGTCTTGGTTCAACGTCGTCAACGTCGTTGAACCAAAACATTTTGAAGGCCTGTGCGAAGGCGCTCTGTCAATATATGCTTATGACTATCGTTCAAGGGTTTATTTGCAGCATTACCAAGCTTCCAACATAAATGAGTGGCCTATGATACACAGCTAGCACACACTAGTAATGCGATTGGATTGGTAAAAATTGTGTTGGGCTAGCTATTGGACCCAAGGTGACGCACGTCGACCTTGGTGGATGACATGTGCGCCAAACACGTCGCCTTGTATCGTACCGACTGCGGCGGGCTCCATCGCAGGGACAACTGGGAGGTCAGTGAAAAAGAGCAGAGTCAAGCATACACGTCGCTGGGGCTGTCCCACTGAGGTACACAAAACATGGCAGTCGGCGCTCTTCTGACTCATGCACAAGTAATTGCGGTACATTGGGTATTGGTGAGCGAGCACATGGAACGTGCCGCCGTCGACAAAGCTGCTCGTGGACGTCGTGGGGGCCACGCGACGCCGTCGGCAGAGTGATGTGGTGGCCAAGGCTAGAATGCATCGTTTCTTGAGATCCTGCGTCACTGCGAGCGTAGCCGTTGTCGATAACGACCGGACATTGCGCGGCGGGCGAAGCAGCGGGTACGCAATGCCGACGGCGATGGGAAGCAGGGCAATCGTCGAAATGTAAATGACGCACATGAACGCCGTCTCGATCGTGTTGTTGGGGACGCGAACGATACCCGTCCCCGCCCAAAAATACAAGTCAATGCACACCATCGTGCGCGACTGGAGATACGTCAACGGCCCCGCGAGCACCGACACAGCAAGTGCTGTGGTTGTTGTATCGAGGGCGGCAAAGCGCACAGTCTTAACTTTCTTGAGGAGGGCAGAAGCGACGCCAAGGCCAGCGTATGCAAACCAAAGCGTTCGCGAGAGGTACAATGTCGCAAGGCCAAAAACGACGAGATCATTGACTTGACACACGCGCACCATGCAGCGACTGAGGTAGTCGACACTGCTCACAGTATCCAATAGGAACGCGGCAGCCACGAGCGGGTTGACAAGAATGATACTGGTGGGGTCACCGAGAATGATTTCAAATGATGTCGCGCCGTTCTGAAGGCCATAATCCAACAGGTTGCGCTTCAAGTGGAGATACGCACGGTAGTACCGGACCCACATGAGCCACAGAATGTAGAGTGTGACCAAGACGCGCCCACCAAACTTGGTTGCTCCGTATATGGGCGAAAACAGGGGCAACTGCGACGAGACGTAGATGTCAACGGAGGACGCGGACGCGTTGATCGACCACAACGTCGTATACGCCATGGGGAATCCGAGAAAGACGGACACAAAAACGCCGGAAAAAGCGTTGTCAGGAAGCCTGCCAGCGCCGAGAGCGAGGGCATCCCGGCGGAGATCAATCGAGTAATACTGCGACACCGGCATTTGCACCAGAAATGATGTCGTATCGCCTTGGTTGAGGCTCACGGCGGTGCGCGTGATATCGTATCCAGGCCCGAACGTAACCGAGCGGCCCGGGAGGATGCGCTGACTGTAGTTGTACCCGAACGCCAAAAGAGCATTTGTGCACGCTGTTTGATTCACCCCACAGTCGGTGATCCAGTCGTGGCGGTTTTCAAGTGCCCACGGCAGTGGCTCCGAGATGTACGCCTTCAGTGGCCTACATAGAGTCAAGTCAAGCGCGCCTCGCATGCACGACATGATTGGTGTACATCACAGCGGCGTTTAGACCAAAGAGCAAGCTCGTCGCGATCGATCGTTTATTGAAGCGCACAGTTCGACGCGACCCGGCGGCCGGCTGGACGACCACCGACGCTGGCCGCATAAAGTCTATTGATAGAAAGTGGTGACTTTGCGGAGTGATGACGGTTATCTGTTTTGACTGCGCTGGCAGAAAGTAATCCCAACCACAGAAGCCAGGCAACAGCGAGCGGATATGGTGGGAT